TAGATGTGCTCGCGCGGCACCTTCTCGAAATGGTGCCCTGGGGGAAGCCCGCGATCTTGATGACCGTGCCCTTCCGGTTCTCGAAGGGGCCCTCGTGGTAGATGAGCGTGTAGGTGTTCCTGTCCTCGTCGTAGCCGTTCGGGTCCACCGTCGCCTGTGTGCAAATCAACCGGTGAGCTGGGACGTCGGGGCCAAACTTGAGAATGCTCTAGCTCGGTCACATCGACGTCGATTCGGCTGATTTTTGGACGGATCGATTGCTCTCAGCGAGTTCTCGAAGCACTGCAGAAAAGCTTGCGTCGAAACGGTCGCGTACGCGCACATTGACGTCGGGTTGAAGATTTGATTTGCACGCGAGACCGTCGCGGTGCACCAGACGCCCTCGCAGAAGTGCTCCGTCGGGAGGCGGAAGCGGTTGCCGTTCGGGAGGCGGATCTTGGGCTGCTGGAGGAGGTCGAGGTCCGGGTCCTCGACGAAGGCCTCGTAGTAGACCTCGACGATGCGCGCCTGGATGTCCTGGTGGTAGTGCTGGTGCGTCGGGTCGCGGTGCGGCTCGAAGAACGAACTCACGATGGAGAAGTGGCTCGGGAGCACGTGCGCGGGCACGGCCTTGGCGTCCGACGCGCGGCGCGCCGTCCCCGCGGGGACCCCGCCCCGCGTGAAGGCGTGGATCGACGGCCGCCCGAGCGGCGCCGCGCCCGCGAACGACGCCGTCTTCGACGACTGGAGGTCCGTGGCCTTGATCTTGCCGTTGATGACGAGGGACTTCCGGGGCTTGAGGCCCGCGGCGGCGCGCAGCGACGCCGTCGCCGTCTCGACGAGCGTCGGCTCCTCCGAGAGGCCCGACGGCGTCGCCTGCGGCGCGAGCGAGTACGCGTCGGCCTCGTCGACCTCGTCGTCCTCGTGGAAGAGCTGCGTGTGGTGGCGGCGCAGCAGCTCGAAGCCGCCCATGAAGATGGACGCCGTCGCCCGCGTCTGCGCCGAGAAGACGAGCGAGAAGGGCTCGAAGGCCTCGGAGTCTTTGACGTGGCGGCCGCCGTGCCACGTGACGACGGACGCGGGCCGCTTGAGCTTCACGAAGAACGACAGGCCCTTCTTGTCGCCCTGGAGGAGGCCCACCTGGAGGATGTCCTCGACGGCGAAGCAGTGCGTGATGCCCCGCGTGCGGAACGCCTTGACGGGGCCGAACTTGTGGCCGCGCCACCAGACGAGGCCGTGGCCCGCGTGCATGACGACGCGGAGCCGCGCGTCGCCGACGGACGTCGCCCTGCCCTTGACGTTGGCGTAGGACCCGGGCAGGCGCTTGCCCTTGGTGTAGAAGAGCTCGAGGCCCGCGCCGCGCTCGAGGCGCCGGTGGAACGCGACGGTCTTGGCCTCGACCGCGCCCGTGTACTCCGCCGCGTAGGAGCTCGTCATGTCCGTCGCGCGGAGCGCCTTGAACATGGCGAGGCGCTTCGCGACGGCGTTCTCCCGCATGACGCGGAGCGCCGCGAGTTTGAAGCGGCTCAGGCCGGGCTTCGCGTCGACGTCGACGCGCACCTTGTCCTCGGACTCGGCGTCGGCGGCCGACTCCTCCTCCATCTCGCCGAGCTCGACGTACTCGTCCTCGGGGGCCACCTCCGCGCCCGACTGCTTCTCCTCGACCGACGGGCGGCGGCTGGAATCGCTCGTGCGCGTGGGGGACTCGGACGACATGATGCTCAGGGTCTCAGGTCTCAGATCGCAGAGCTCGAGTCGAGGCAAGATGCTCTGCGACTCGTGTGAAGGCCAGGAACGTCAGGGGGGCTCGCGGGGGGTCGAGGGCTTCGTCGAGATCTCTCAGATGCAGAGCTCGATCAGAGAGCTCAACACGAGGCCGGCAACTATGCACTTCTCGACGCCCCTCACGAATCGCCTCTTCCGCGCCCCCTCGCGCCGCCGACTCTCGGCCAAGCACGCTCTCCACACTCGGCGGTCGCGTCTCGTGGTTCTCGAGACGGGCGGCGGCCTCCCCGAGCGGGCCGCGGCGTCGTCATCCTTGCGCCAGGCGGGCTTGGCATTCAGGAACGTGAGGCACCACCAGACCGCGAAGGTCGGCGCGGAGAGGAACGCGGCGACGACCACGCCAAGGCCAAGCACGACTCGCAGGCGCGCGAGGCACATCAGCTCGGGCTCGAGCGACGACGCGGCGTAAAAGAATTAGACTATACTGACGCGTCGCCGATGGTGTCGTCGGGGCGCTTGATCTCCGTCTTGTGCTCGTGCGCGTCGAGGATCGCGAGGTTCCTTGTAGCTGTCTCGTCGCCCTTGGCAGCGGCGCGCTCGAACCAGTATCTGGCTTTGCCGAGGTCGACTTCCGTGCCACTTCCGTTCACGTAGCGACAGCCAAGGACATGCTCTGCACGTGGAGTCAACTTCCCAATAAGCGAGGCAGACCGGTCGTTAATCGGGAAAAGTACAATTACGGTCGCTACGACGCCGGGGACGCCTGGTCTTACCCCGGGGACGCAGGGCCGAAGCCAGAGGCGTCGATGGACGCCATTTGCGCCGTCGGCCCCGGTCCCGGCCGGTCGGCCGGCTGGCCGGCCGGTCGTCGTCGTCGTCGTCGTCGTCGTCGTCGTCGTCGCGCGCGCGCGCGTGGAGATTATAGCGGAGAGCAAGTCCATGGCTTCCTCGAACATGCTCTAGGCCACCTCCATGAAGCTGCGCAGCGCCCAGGCACCGGTTTTGCTCTGGAGCGCCTCCTTGCCGCGCGAAGCGTGAGAGGAAAAATTCGGCGGGATCCAGCGCGCGTAGCGGTCCAGAACCGGCGCAGCTGTACGTGCCGCTCGCGCGCTGCGTGCAAGAGATCGCGCCCTCGCCGGAGAACGAGCCCGCTCCGCGCAGCCGCCGCCGCCGCCGCAGAGGCCACTGCCACAAAGTCGCCGCACCCGCCCCGCGCGCAGCGCGAAGAAAATTTCGACTTCGTCGCTGGCCAGAGCGTAGAAACGACCCTCGAGAACAGGTGTGAGGTCAGGCTCGCAGCGCAGCAAGTCCACCGCGCGCAGCGCGCTGAGATGGTAGCGCCATGCTCTCACTCGGCTGTGGTATTTTTCGTCCGCAGACTGTCGCCGGGGGTTTGAGAAAGGTACAATTCACGATTTCGCCGGGGGGCGCCGCCCGAAGCCCAAAAACGTCATTGTACCTCCCCAAAGCGTCTAGGAACCCTCCACGGACGCTGGATACGCCCCGGGGACGTCTTTACGTGCTAGCGGACGCCTTATTGGGAAGTTGACTCCGTGTATAACCTTGATCCGCCGAGAGCGCGTAGTACCGGAACGCTTCTTCAGGTTTCTGCTCAGAATGAAGGAAATCCCCGAAACCGCATTGCGCGACCGCGTCGCCCTGATCTGCGGCCGCGCGATACAGCCGCTCCGCCTTCTTCTTGTCCAGCTTGACGCCAGTTCCACCACGATCGTACAATCTCCCAAGGTTTGCCATCGCGTCCACGTCCCCGAGCTCCACGGCGCGCTTCCAAATCTTCTCCGCTTTCTTATCGGATTTCACGAGCCGAAGTAGACTTCCGCCTATTCCGTCTTTCCGTCGGCCGAACCAACCTCGGCTGTACGCCTCTCCCAAATGCGTAATCGCCTCCGGCAACTCGTTCTCCACATGGCGGCGAAGGCGCGCGAGGTTTTCCGCATTCGTTGCTTTCGGTAAGCGGCAGAGGGGACACGCGTTTTCGATCTTTTTATTGCACGACTTGCAAACCCTCCGGCAGCAACAGACGCGAAACACGCTCTTCGCATTCACGTCCCAACGGTCCCACTCCTCGAGACAGATCGGGCACCGCGACCCGTGCCGCGCCGACAGCGGCTCCCGCTCCGGGTTCGCCTCGCGCCGCGCCCGCGCCGCCTCGTGCTCCGCCGCGATGCGCGCGCGGACCTCGTCGGCGTGCGACCGCGGCGCGGGGCCGTAGAACACGTCCCGCGGCGGCGACGGCGGGGGCGTCGGCGCCTCGGCCCGCGCCGCCGCCGCGGCCTGGATCTTCTTGCAGGCCTCCCGGTGGCCCCGGTCGCGCCAGTCGATGCGTTGGCAGGCCGTCGAACAGTAGGCCGTCGTGCCGCACCCTTCGCACGCCTTGGCTTTGTCGGCGCCGCAGATCGTGCATAAGTTGAGCGCCAGCTTTGTACGAGTTTTTCGCGCCTCGTACTCTCGCTTCTTCTTGATCAGTTCCGGGTCCATGATCTCTTCCCACGCTCGTCGCCGACGCTCCCTATTCAACCACCTCACTCGTCTATCGTCACTCGCAACAGGCAAATCCTTCGGTCCTTCCCTGCGCCGCGGCTAAGCAAAATCGGCGTCGCCTACGAGCAGTAGCCGCCCTACGTCGTCGTGCCCTCTTCGTCGCCGTGCTCGCGTACGCCTCCGCCCTAGTCGTGTCCTCCCGTGACGCTTCCCTACGCCCCCCTTCGCTGTTCTCTCCCCCTTCGGTCCTTCCCTGCGCCGCGGCTAAGCAAAATCGCTCAAAATCTTACCCCGGGCTAAGCCCACCTCTAGAGCATCGCGTTCATGTAGGCCTTCATGTCGTTCTCCATGCCCCCTCGGCGTCGTCGTCCTCGCGCCAGGCAGGCTTCGCGTTCAAGAACGCGAGGCACACCAGGCCGCGAAGGTCGGCGCGGAGAGGAACGCGGCGACGACGACGCCAAGGCCAAGCACGACTCGCCCGCGCGCAAGCGCACCATCTCGGGCTCGGGCGACGACGCGGCGTAAAGACAAATTAGGCTATACTTGCGCGTCGAGGTCCGCGAGGGCCTCTATAGCTGCCTCGTCGCCCTTGGCAGCGGCGCGCTCGAGCCAGTATCTGGCTTTGCCGAGGTCGACTTCCGTGTCTTCTCCGTACTTGTAGCAAATGCCAAGGTTTAACTCACCAAAGGTAAAGCCCTGATCCGCCGCGAGCGCGTAGTACCGCAATCCATCTTCAAATTTCTGCTGAGAAACGAGTGATTCCCCTAAATTGCATTGCGCCATCGCGTCCCCCCGGTCTGCGGCTGCGCGAAACAGCCGCTCCGACTTCTTCTTGTCCAGCTTGACGCCACTTCCAGTAGTGTGCAATTCCCCAAGGTTTCTCATCGCCGACACATCTCCGAGTTCCACGGCGCGCCGGTAAATCTTCGCGGCTTTCTTATCGGATTTCACGAGGCCGTAGTGACCTTCGCAGTACGCATCTCCCAAAAACGTAATCGCTTCCGGCACCTCGTTCTCCACATGGCGGCGCAGACGCGCGAGGTTTTCCGCATTCGTTGCTTTCGGTAAGCGGCAGAGGGGACACGCGTCGGTGCCGATCTTGCCACTGCACGACTTGCAGACCAGCCGGCAGCAACAGACGTGAAACACGTTCCCCACATTCACGTCCCACTCCTCGAGGCAGATCGGGCACCGCGACCCGTACCGCGCCGACTGCGGCTCCCGCTCCGGGTTCGCCTCGCGCCGCGCCCGCGCCGCTTCGTGCTCCGCCGCGATGCGCGCGCGGACCTCGTCGGCGTGCGACCGCGGCGCGGGGCCGTAGAACACGTCCCGCGGCGGCGACGGCGGGGGCGTCGGCGCCTCGGCCCGCGCCGCCGCCGCGGCCTGGAACTTCTTGCACGCCGCGCGATGGCCCCGGTCGCGCCAGTCGATGCGTTGGCAGTCCGTCGAACAGTAGGCCGTCGTGCCGCACCCTTGACAAGCTTTGGCGCCTTTTGCGCCGCAGATCGTGCATATGTTGAGCGCCAGCTTTGTACGAGTTTTTCGCGCCTCGTACTCTCGCTTCTTCTTGATCAGTTCCGTGTCCATGATCTCTTCCCACGCTCGTCGCCGACGCTCCCTATTCAACCACCTCACTCGTCTGTCGTCACTCGGGGCGAGGCAAAATCGCTCAAAATCTTACCCCGGGCTAAGCCCACCCTTCGAGCTCATGCCGTTCTCCATGCCCCCCTCGGCGGCGTCGTCGCCCTTGCGCCGGGCGGGCTTCGCGTTCAAGAACGCCAGGCAGGGCGGCGGCCTCCCCGAGCGGGCCGCGGCGTCGCGATCCTCGACGACGCGAAGCCGCGTGTCGAAACTCGACCGGGATCTTGATTACTAAGTTTTTGTGGGCCTTTGCCCTGCTTGGTGTGCTCCGAACGTCGCCGCCCGCCGCCGGCGCCTACTCCGCGGCGCGGTACAAGGTGATCTCTTGCTGCTTGAAGTAGCGGCGCTCCTCCTGGTCGACGAGGACGAGGTTGAGGTAATACCGCACGTTAAACTTGTTGTTGATGTTGCGGTACGTCGGCGTGAGGTTCTGCGCAATAATAAGACCGTGACAAAAGAAACAAAAAACGAGGCGGACGCGGCGTGCGCGGACGAAGTTCGAGAGGAAGAGGCGGATGGGGATGCACTCGCCGCGCACGGGCGCGCCGTCCATGACCTCGAACTTGGTGATCGTCTCCGAGTCGTTGTACATCTGCGGGCCCGAGCCCGCGGCCTCGCGGCGGATGATCGCGAGCTCCATGTGCTTGATCTTGATGCGGACGAGCAGGAAGTAGACCTTGCCGATGATGATGTCGTTCAGGTGGTACTTCGTCTTGTCGTACTCGAACTCGATGTGGAGGCACTCCTCGATGCCCACCTCCATCTTGATCGTGTTGTTCACCTCCGGCGCGGGCTGCGCGACCCTGCGGCGCGGGCGCGGCGGTGTCGAGCGGCGGTGTCGCGCGCGCGCGTCGCGGCGGCGCGGCGGGACGACGAAGCCGCGGACGCTGCCATCGCGCTGGACGACGAAGTCCTGCTCCTTGACGAGGTTGCCGGAGGGGTAGCCGCGCGTCACGGTCACGCGGATGAAGTAGCGGAGTCGGACGTTGAGCCCGTTGTACGACTCGTAGGGCTTCTCCGCGTTGGAGAAGTCGAAGGGGTACCTGGGCGGCCGGCGGTTGCGGAGCGGCGCTTATGAAACGAGGACGCGGCGGGCGCGCTGGGTGACGCTCGACAGCACGCCGGGCGTGTCGAGCTCGCGGAGGATGCACGTAAAATCGTAAAAATTGCCGCGGTCGTAGAAGAGCTCGATCTGCGCGCGGCGGACGGTCTGTTTTACGCATCAATGAGGAGGAGGCGCGGGCGGCGCGCCTGGCCGATGACCTCGATCTTGATGCCCTGGTGCTCGAGCCGCTTGCCCTGGGGCACGCGGATCTCGACGACGCCTGCGGCGAAAGCGTCCCGGCGGCGCTTCTTCGCCGCGCGTCGCGCGCGCGCGGCGCACCCGTCACGGGCTCGATGTTCGCGAAGACGGGGTGCGCGACGGCGTTGTTCGACAGCTTCTTCTTGGGCCGCGCATCCTCGTTGTCGAAAGTGATGGCGATGCGGTCGTTCGAGCTGCCGCCGAAGCCGAACATGGTCGGCGCTTCAGACCGGCGGCCGGAGACGCGCCCGCGCCACCGCTCGCGCCGGAGTCGGAGCCTCGAACGCCGCCGCCGCGAGCGTGCTGCGCCGCGAGACGGAGGAGCCACTCGAGCCCGACGCGTCGATGCGATTGGCTGGCGGAAATCCGGCATGCGACGCGGCGCGACGTCCCGCCTCGCGCTCGCAGAGACGAGTCTACAGCTTAGGTCT